ATATGTACATGTTGCACTGTACATGTCGCTGCACTTCCATTCGCACTCAACAATGCACTCTGTATAATTTAACCTTTATTATATTATCGTATCCGTCTTTGCGACACAGATTGTTTCCCACTACTGTCTTGGCCACACAGCTTGCAATTGGGGGTTCACCAGACGGCCGTGCAATCTTTACGAAACCCATCCAACAACAAGAGTTTGCGGGTTTCTTGGGTTCATGGATTTGTTCAAGCTAGGAGACCATGAACAACAGCCTCCGAACCGGATGGTATAATAAACTCTTGGGAGGTAAACTTTCTCGGTAATGTTAAAGAGCTATTTTTTGTATGTGAATATATAAATATATCGTACTACATATGTGTATAAATTAATATGACTATAGTTGCGGTTCGATACGCAAAAAAACTTGTTTGATGGATCGCTCAGAACGATTTCCATTGATGTGTTGTTTTTTCATTCGGAAATCCCTTTCCTCTGAGGTACTGTCGCACCGCGCGGCACTGCGATTGGAAGGACACTGGCAAGGCTGGCTTCATCCACCTTGCTGCCACCTTTGCAGTCACTGCGCAGTCGACACAGTCTGTTTGACACGGATATCCCTTTGGCATCGCAATGACGCTATGAAAAGGTCATGTAAAAAGGATGCCGGATGCCTTTTTTGAAGCCATGGAATGTCATGGATGGAATCTAGGTGGCCTTGAAGAGGCGACAAAGGGACGAAGCCGATGATGTCGCTTGCGCCATCGAAACCGGACGCGCTTAAGCGGTCACTGAAGCGGTGCTTGGCCCAGGCAAACCTCAGCCGTTTGTTGGTTGAAGCCAGTACCGACGCTGTCTCTTTTCAACCGTGTTCTCACTTATCTTAACATATCTTAACAAAGTGCGACTGAGCTGCAGTTGCTCCACCCATGTCCTTCGCGCTTTGCCTTACTTCGCATCAGTTTGGACATCCCTGAGCTTTCTCAGGTCATGCACGTTATAAACACTTGCAGCTTGCTTGGCTGTTTATACCTTCTTCTTGTTTTCGTTTCCATGTTCAGCTGTCGGAGCTGCTCTCACCAGGCTTCAGCTTCTGGAGGTTGCTCAGTCGTGGCACCTCCCTTGCTTCGCGTCCCTCTTGCAGCAAACACAGGACCACCAGCAGCCGTCGGTCCAGGCTGTTCTTGTCACCTGAGAGTGGAAGTCTCTCGAGCCTCCAAATGCACACAGCTTGCACTCAGCTTGTCTGCGGGTCCGCTCTGAGGCCGCAGCGCGCAACGGTGAAGAGTAGCATCCTGAAAAGGCCATGTTGAACAGCTTAGAAGACCAAAGCTTCCTGTGGTAAAAAAACGTACAGTAGATGAGCATGACATGTAGCAAGCAAAATGCACCCACGAAGGGTTTCTCTAAATCTCCTGAGGGCCAAAGCACGCATCTCGGGAGCACAGCCACGTTCCCACATATCGAAGATGGTACTGAAAACACCCTCCTTCATGCTGTTGCCCTGCACCACCTCCAGAAGCTTTGGCCACAACATGTCGGACGCCTCGGCCTGAAAGAGCGGTTCATTCTTCAAACCTAGGGCAGGATGCCGACCAATGCAACAAAAACGGAGAAACCATTGGAAGACATAGAATTGAAAACTCCTGTCATTGAAAAACATAGACCGCTCAAGAGACAAAGCAAACTGAAACCAACGCCGCCTTTCACATACCGCCGACTTCGAAACAAAGCGAAAGGACCCAAAAGGAAAACAAAGGTATCCAATACATAGAGCTGGGTGTCCAATGCAGTCGATGTCCGAGATAGAACAATTGAAAGAATCGAGCTCTTCATGGTCCAAAACATGTCTGACCCAGGCCCCTGGGTCCATTCGTTCCCATTCCAGCTCCGTCATCTTCTGCCCTTGCTTCCGTGCTGTCAGCAAATGTCGTCTCCAGCGAATAAACCGATTGGCAGATTCGATGTCGCTCTGCATGCGAAGCAAACTGTTCCACAATTCCAGCTCCTCTTCTAAAGAAAGACAGCAGCTTTGGCTCACATGCGCCAGGTGCGAGATGTAGCTCGCAGCATCCCGGAAAGCCTTCCCTGCCAAGTCAGCATCCATTCCCTCATTGCGAATTACTGCCTGCACCAAACGCAAGCGAACCTGAGTTAAAGACGGAGCGAATGTCTTTCATGCGTTCAAATAACAATTCAATTCCTGTGCCGGATGATGTTTCTCCCAAACCTGAAGAGGTGCCTTTGTGCAAACTTAAGCGGCGCAAGTGGAACTAGTTTTAAATAAGCTGACCAATGGCCTCCCGTGCAGAGGCGACAACTTCTATAGGACCATAGAATATCCTAGAACATCATTAGAACTAGGTAACACGGAAAACAAGAAACAACATAGAAACAGCACTAAGCCTCTAAGCCAACCTGCATATTATTTGGGGGCACCATCGTGGCACGCCACTTCACTTAGCCTTGTGGCCGCCACAGCGTCAGGTGCCCGGTCCGATGCGTCGTGGAGCGCCATGCGGAAGGCGAGGCGCTCGTCGTGGCGGAGAAGGCCATCAGCAGAAGCCACAAAGGGCAGCAGCTTGGCCGCGCCCTAAGCCCAAATGGCCCAAAGGAACCCAAAGATATTTCAGCATTGCAATTGCACATGATATTTAAGGAATGAATAGGGCCAGGAATAAGAAAGGAATGGATATGAAATGATAGAAATTTGGAATAACCATTCCAAAAGTGGCGGCAAGAAGTCTGCTAGAGTCGAATGTTTAATTAGAATGGGCCACATAAGTGACGCAATTGCTTCAGCTTAAACTTGGGTAGCGTTATGTAGCGTTAACATGATTCGTCTTCAACTGGCCTCATAGTCCCGCTGAAGAAGACGACAACAAAGGAGCCATAGTGCAGAGAGGAGGCTGGGAGATTTCAGGTCAGTTCCAGTGGACAATGTAAGATCATACGCAGCTATGGGAGTAAAGAAAGCTTCACCAAAAATGGTCAAGTAAATGTCAATGCCAAAAGCTTCTTGATAGCATCGGCGTCTTCTTAAGCCACCCAAGGGAGCCACAACCTGGCAAGACGGGCTGTTTCACACTAAACTGCGTTTCACCCAAACATTTGACCGTTTGACATGTCTTTTTCCTTCCCGTCTGTGTTCAGAACCTGTGCTCAGAACAAACACACCGCCAAACGGATCAGACCTTCGCATCGCCAGCTTCAGAGCGCAAAAGGAAGCAGTGTGGCGGCAAGGAGTGCGGGCAATTTGGCAACAATCGGCGAATGGATGAGATGCCAAAGGCATCCAGGTACATCTGACCACCGAAGGCGTCGCAATACAATTTCTTCTTGAAAGCCAAAGCAGGAACCTGGACTCCGTCCCCAGGCTCCAAAACGGGGCCGGAACGGAAGCGGAAGCGAAGCTGCAACCTGGGCATCTCCACCAGACCGATTTGGCCACTGGTGTCGCTTTCGGTCCAAAAAAGGACATGTGACAAAGGCTCCACCCTGCTGATGTCTCGCCCAAACTGGAAGAGCTTCGGATCTGATGAGCGAGTCGCATCCTGCAGTTCCTGACAACCTTCACCTTGTTCCCGCCAAACCCGCGCAGTGCTCCCGCCATTCGAAAGCTCCAAGTGCAACACGTAGTTGAACCAACGGCTCTGCTTGTCTCTTGGCCTGGTCGCTGGTCGGACGTCTGCTCAAGCCTGCTTGTGATATCAATAACAAAACGGTCTTACTTTTGAAGTAGCAGCAGCAGCAGCAGCAGCAGCAGCGTTTTTTTAGGTGTAAGGGGGGTTGAAGACCAGCCCCTAAGGCAAGCATGGTGGCAATCCTAAAGCCTTGATGCCTTACATTCGCTCTTGAACTTGTTCATTGTATTTAAGATCCATAGTCACCAGACCCCCTTCCCTGCCACCTGTGCTAGGGGGCGCCTTCTGCTCTTCTTTCTCAATGCACTTTGCACTGGACCCCTCCTCCATCATGGCTTTGTGGTTCACAGTTGGTTGTCTGACGCTGTATGAGCTCTCTTCTTGCATGAATGTGGAATGACTGAAGGATATTGAAGAATTAGGGCCTGAGGCTTTACCTGGCTACCTATCCCAATGTTCTTGTCTTCTTGTCGAATATGATATCTCATATATATATATATATGCGTGTCAGTCTCCACCAAAATGCGACTAAAGTCAGCTTGCTCCCAAAACAAACCATGGTTGTCCTCCCTTCCACTAATTCAGAATGGAATCAAACCACCCATCCACACTGATTTAAACTCCCACCCGCTTCACAACAACAAGAAGACTTTGGTTGGAGGCCATCGCTTTACTAGGTTGGAGGGATCAAGCATGTTTCCAGACCGCCATCCAGCGCCTTCCCCGCCACCTGAGCTGGGGCGGCACCCTTCAGGAAGCGAAACGCCATCGCTAGTAGGTTGGAGGCCATCAATAGTAGGTTGGAGGCCATCGCTCTTGAAGTCTTAGGGAGGAGACCATTCCTATTATAAATACAGTATATAGGTTGGAGACCATGGGTCTTAAAGCGCCCATCTTGGCCCGCCTCCCCTCGATGCTAGACTCGGAGATTTGCCAGAAAAAGAAGTGTGGCAAAAGCACTTGAGGCAGCAAGCCCCGCAGGAAGCGCTGCGGCAAATAGCTCCCGGCAGCGCTCCTTAAGACCAAGGACTTCCCGTAGAACTCCAAAGGTCTCAGGCGGCCAGCCTACACCGGCAACACAGTTCCGAGATTGACCCGAAAACGACGACCTTGTGGACATTTTTGGAGCAAAGTTCAAAACGACGACCTAGTCAGCTATGGCTCAGACCGAGAAATGCGAACACAAACACGTCGAAGCCGCCTGGTTCAACAAGGCCTGGGGCACAGTGAAAAGCTCATGGATCTCTTCGGGATCGTCACTGAAAAGCGATTGCCGCCGCAACGAGGTCCAAACAGCTTCTCGCAAGGTGCTGCGGCCATACTCCTGCAGTTGGTAGGCAACCAAGAAGTCCGGATGGCCCAGCATGGATTCGAACTCCAACCAGAAAGAAGTCACTGCCCGAATGCTGCTGATTTGCACTTCGCAAACACAAATCGTGCGTGCAAGTCCAAGTGTGGGTGAAGAAGGTTGGCTGTACCAACGAGCCCCTTTCCACCATTCGCCAGCAAATCTGCAATACCATGGCTCCGGCTTATTCAGAAGTGAAGGATCCGCTGGTGGCGTAGAAAGGAGGGCCGCAAAAACTGCACTTCCTGCACCTTCATGATGGGTTCTCAAATGCTTGGGTAGGTCGGCCACTTTCAACTCAGCCCACGTCTGGCCTCTCCACAGGATCCCACTCGCGTTGTGCGTCGGGTGGAAGGCATAAGGGACCCCTTCCCCTCCCTTGGCCAGCTTTACTGTCGTCCGGTCGTACTCCAAGGCCAGCGTGAACTCAGGTGGCGCCTCGAAAAAGCAGATGAAACTGAACACCAACAGCAACTGTGTTGAAAAAGTAAAGTAATTGCATGATGCTGTGTATTTTAGTCATGGTACCCAAAGCTCGACTGTATACTCAACTCCACATCGAAAGGTGAGTTTCCTCGCGTAAAGGGACTCTGAGAGTGGGAGGACGTTGGGGCGCTGGTCCCCCAAGACTTCTTGATAGTCTGGATCATCGAAGCAGTCTGAAGGCATCGGCTGCAATGTTTCACGGGCCTGAGACGGAAGACCAAACTCAAAAGGCCCAAGAGACCCAACAGTCCGAAACAGAAACGGGAGATGCCAGCGTTTTCAACGCATCACTGGCCAAGTAAAGAACTGGCTGATTCTAAGGCACATCTTCTCAGTAAAACTGCTAGGCTATTTTTCCCCATCTAGAATCCATTCTTCTCTTTCAAAGTCTTCCACCCTCTGCCTCAAAGCTGATGTTGGCCATTCCCAAGTCCACACGAGCTCCTTGAAGCATGGTACACAAGCCCAAACTAACTAAGTGCCATTGTATAAACAAAATATATAAATGGAAACTGTGATCAAGAACCCAATCCTCAATTCTGCCCTATGAGCGCCCCAAGTGGATCTTTACCGACAGGAATCAGGAACCTAACCAATTGTGCCATCTGCGCTTTATGTGTATGTGTGTGTGTTTGTGGGCCTTTGAAAGCCAAAAAGCCTGCAGGTGCATGCAGACTTCGCCCCCAGCTTTCCCAAAAAAAGATTGAAGAACTGCTGTCTCCCAAGAGTGACTGGCACCCGTCAGTGTCTTTTGGCCGAAATTAGCCTTGCCATGAATGCTTGCAAATACATATGACATTGGTATGATTTTTACATATATAATATATACTGTGTACATACATATATATATATATAGCGTGTGTGTGCGCGTGTAGTCTAGAGCCAAGTCATTGCCATCGCGGACTTTGCAGGTTTAGTACACAAAAGGTGCCTGGCGACGCAAAGGTGGATGGTGGACCCGTAGGACGGGTCCACCATGGAGGGTTCATATGTCAGATCATGTCGGATCTATGTGCTTGCTTGCCTGCAGATTATACGGCCACGTTCTGCTGCCCCAGATTTGCGCCACTCGTGCTGAAAGCAGTGGAGGCACAGAGTAAAGTGAAGCAAAGCTCGCAACTCCAAGAGGCTTTTGGCAGCCAGCCCTGTAGCTAACACGATCTTTTTGGTGTTCGGATTGAAGGGCCAGGGCCAGGAAGGGCTATCCAGGACGCCATTGCCAAGAATCTTGGACCGACAGCCATATGTACATACCCGCTGCTGTGAGCAAGAAGACCTCTAACACCCGTGCCGCAACCAAATGACAGTTTTCTGCACTGCCTGGGGAGGGGCAGCCTGCAGGTGCTTGCTTCCAAATCTGCTTTGACAATCCATTCCCCAGTGTAATTACGAGGCAAAATGTGCTTTAGCTGCTTTAGCTGTGCGCACATCTTCTAGGCTCCAATCGCGTTTCCGCTGAGCAGGTCTTGAAAGCCCTGATGTATGGAGTATGGACGTGACTGGCAGGAGAATCAAGTGTCCAAGACTGAACAGCCTTTGGTCAGTCTCCTTTCTAGCAAGCCACCAAGCGGAGCCATATGAGCTATCTGCTAACATAGGTTTAACAACTACACTCATCACCTCATGTCCCACTCTGCAGTTCTCAGCCCTGCGGTTTCCACAGTCCTGTGAGCCAGGAATCCGCCTCCTCTGCTGCCGATGCCACAAAGCAGCCACCCGAGCCAAGGCCCAGCTGCTGCTTCCGCGCCTGACAACACTTCACCCGCCTCTCAGCTGTTGGTCGTCTTGGACATGCAAGCGATGGCCTCCAACCTACTAGCAACAGCCTCCAACCTAGCGGTGACCTCCTTGTCAAGAATAATTGTCTTATACATCCTTATACCAACTTTACATCCTTTTACTGTCTTTGTCACGAAATGGGCCTCACTTAGGCTCTCAAGCTCTTCCCACTTCTGCCGCACGTCATGCCGCTTGTAGTCCTTCACCGCCTCCTGGACATCACCACCCACCTGCACACTGCAACGCTGGAAGTGCATTGGAGCATATTGGAGCATCCTGTCAGTAGTAACCCAAGCTACCACACGCGTCTACAGTCATCTGCAGGCTGCTCATCGGCATCTAACATAACGTAACATTATCCGCCGGCCTGCCGGCGTGCTTTGTGGACTGCTTTGGTTATCTAGTATTGCTTGCGTTGGCTTCAATCTACGGTTTGTCTCTCCGCGCGGATTTTTCGACAGCCTGACGCCCCCCCCCCCCCGCAGTGGTGGTGGTGGTAGTAGTAGTAGTAGCAGTAGTAGCAGCAGTAGTAGTAGGTAGTAGGTAGTAGGTAGTAGGTAGTAGGTAGTAGGTGGTACGTAGTAGGTAGTAGGTAGTAGGTAGTAGGTCGCTGGATCAGAATAGACAACCATTGGACTGAGACATGTCGATCGCTGGATCAGAATAGACAACCTCTGATTCGGATTCGTTCCATTTCATTGTAAAACGACTTCGCTTGAAATCAACAGCAACAAGCTCTCCCAGCAAAATGTGCAACTCCAATGCACCCACAAGTCTGATTGAGCAGGGTATTGTTGTTCGATGTCATTCTGGGTCTTTCATTTCAAACGGTTTGGAGAAAAAACGACAAATCATGCCAGATCTAGAAATTCTTCGGTCGCTTTGAAGCCTTCTGTGTGTGAAAAAGAATATCTGGTGCATGTCGCAATCCCTCGAGACGGTCGAAAAAAAGATCTGAAAAGGAAAACATGCACACGGCCAAGTAGTTTGGAAGAAGAATCGTTTTCAAGGTCATGTTTTGTGGATAGTCTTGGTTCGCATTGCTTGTGTTGGTTTCACTTGGTTCCTCTTAGGTGATTCGACTGAGACATGCCGGTTCGGATCGCTGGATCAGAATAGACAACCTCTGATTCGAATTCGTTCCATTTCATGGTCAAACAACCTTGAAATAAACATCAACAAACTCACCCAGCCAAATGTGCACCTCCAATGCACCAACAAGTATGATTGAGCAGGGTATTGTATCATTAAGCTGCCTGCCAATGCGGGCTCGAGCTGGTGGCCGGCGGCATGCCGAAGGCTGTAAATATACATAATGAGATAGAAGGAACATGAAAGAGCACATTCGCACCAAACATATTTCCTCAATCTGTCTTGCCTCCGAGAGGATGGAGGCGCAAACGAAGTTCGAAGGCTTCGCTTCGGATGGCACGGAAGCCACGGCCTTCTGCATGGAAGCGACGGCCTCCGGCGACAACTCCGCCTCGGCGGTCACGCGGAAGCCGTAAGCCGTGTCGCCGTCGCTGCGGAAGGCCATGACACGCTCCAAGGAGATCCGGAACGAGTCGCTGTTGATGACTAAGCCAGGAGCATCCACTCCTGGCCATCCGGATTTGGCGACGTCATGCCGACTCCCTCTCCACACCAACTTGGATGAGATCTCTTTGTCTCCAGCATAGACTTTCACAAAATCCCCGGTCTCCACTTGGCAAAGTGGGTCGAAGCGCAGAATGATCCGCGAAGCCTTGGGGAGTCGCACGACTTTGGGCTTGAAATCCTCGGAGGTGATGGGATGCTGCGTCTCGCAGATTCGGTAGCACACCTTTGGAGTCTGTTCAGCAGCGCGCCAAACGAGAGAAGGCATGCGCTCACTCCCCAAAGCACCACCTCACAGCTGAATATTTTGAGTGCGTGTTTGTGGATTTGTGTGGGTTTGCAGGGTGTCCTTGTGTGGCTCCACCTGATTAGCATTTGGAAGTAAAGAGCAGCCCCTAGATACAGTCATTATGACTCACCATGATTAGCATGGCACTTGATGCCCCATCTATCTGTGCCACAACCCCTGACCTGATCAATGAACTGTTCGGAATGGGCCCCACAGGGTTCCGCACGGACGAAGTTGAGCAAAACAAGTTTCAGAAGATTACAATGTATAAACCTTCACAAATCCAAGAGCCAAGCCACCTAGGATGAAGCTGAAGTATTTGTTCCGTTCGCTCTCATCACCTTGTTCCACAGCCTTCAATAAAAGCACTCGGTGTCGACTTAACGCACTGAAGACCAAGTGTACCATATCTGCTTGGTCCCCAGGGCATTCCACATTCGCCACATCCCCAATCTTTTCACTCCACAAGCTGAAGGTACAAGACGCCACAGCCAAGCTTTGCGTGTCATCGTCTTCCATCCGCGTGAGAGGCCAAGCGGTCATGGCCAGGTGAGCATGGCACTGCATCAAAACCTCGTAATTCTTCGCCAGATTTGCCTGATGGATCCATCGTGCCAAAACTTTTCTTGCGAACTTCTGCGTGAAGCGGCGGAAGAGCTTGGCATGCTCTTCCAAGCAGAGTCTAGCGTTTTCTTCCGCAACAGCCTTTGCATGTTGCATGTAGTCTTGCAAGAGAAGCGCAATGTGCACCACAAAAAGAAAAGGTTGCACCAAAGGCCCATTGAATTCTCCATGGCCCAAATCTTTCATCGCTTCAAAGAGTTGATTCAGCGAGGGAAGCAACAAATGAGGGCTTCGTAGGAGTTCTTGATGTAACCATCCCAACTCCACTGAAAGTTGGTCGATTACTGGGATTTTCCAATCCGTGGGGAAGTTGGTGCCATAGCAGCCGGGCTCGAAGAGGCAAGAAAAAAATATACGTTGGAAGCGACGATGATGCAGAAGTGAGATGTGGTTGGGGATGAGGAATTGCAGGAGCAAAGGTATGCGCAAACCTCACAGCTCAAGCGATGACATGGAGAGCCAAGCTAACTAACTAGCAAAACAGGAGGGAATACGCGGACGTTGTCAATGACAAACTCAGAAACATATATACATGCCGACCGTGAAACTTGAGTGCCGTGGTCACTTGGGGAACCCTCCGGACATCTTGCACAACACGTCGAGTTTGAACCTTCCAAGGCACCTGGGCAATTCAAGATGGAAAGCAGCGACTCTGCTTGGTGCTGGGTCAGGGAAAAGTCGAAGTCTGGCAGAACAGGCGTTGAGAGAATCTCATTTTCCATGGCCAAGCCAAACCGCAAATACGGCAGTGCAGGGCAGAGTAGCTTGGGATGCGTCAGGGAGGCTTGTGTATAGACCTTATTTGGGTGCCTCTGGAGCAAAGTGCAAGGGCTTCCAATCTGCACTGTCATCTTTGTCGGTGGGTTGAAGAGATTAACCGTGAAGTCCATCTTCGCAACCTCATTGGCACTCAAAACGTGGTCCACGGGCGCTGTGGCCCCGCCATCCAAGGCAGAAACCAGGCTAGGCACACTGGCCAGTGTCATCTGGTAGAAAATTGCCAAATCACGCACTAGTTCCCACTCGAGGCATTGAAGATTGTTGTCAAAAGCCAAGGCTAAATCCATTTCCCATTCCTGATAGGGTCGGTCCACGCGCATCAAGGATTTGGGCGCTTGGCAGGTCTTCCCCATAGCATCCCGAAGGTCCCTCACAATCTCCAGGATGCTGTTGCCCACACCACTCACTTCAGATTCTTCAGACTCAGGAGGTCCAAAAACAAGCGCTGTGTCTTGTAGGCCTCGCTGGCCAAAGACGGCCTTTATGAACCACTCAAGTAAACTTCCTCTGACCTTTGTAAAGGGCCTTACTGAACAGAGGAGAGAGGAGGAGAGGAGAGAGGAGGAGAGTCACATGGCCCCTTGGATTCCTGAGGCTTTTCTTGCGACTATGATCTTCCTGCCTGTGTGGAGCAAGTTGTTGGCGGCTGCATGACGGTTGCAAAGGCGTGCACGAACTTCGCCTGAAGAGCGGCTGAACTTCGCATTGACAAACCATGGACGTGAAAAGCCAGACCTGAAAAGCCTACTTTCAGCATCTTGCAGCTTGTCGGCTGGACCCTTTCTGAAACCACAAAGGGCAGCAATTCAAAAGCAAAGCCAAGGAGCAGGCAGCCGGTGACAACATAGGCAACCAAGCAGTAAGATCTGCAAAGGTGGATGGCCGACCATCCGGCTTTTCCCAGGGTTGCAGAGAGAAAAGGGGGCCTTTTCGTTTCATCACCGAGGACAAGGGGCCATCCATGTTGCAAAGCAATACTTCAAATAATTCCAACAAAGATGCCATGACCAGCACAGCTGTAGCACTTGCACTTCGACCCAATGATGATGAACGAAGTGCTGCCAAGTAATGGGCACCCAAACGATGGAGGCTTCGAAGGAAATCTTTCCCTTTGAGCGCTGAGAAGTCTTTGGTCCACAAGGCGCGGCTCTCGAAGACCAAAGACTCCACCACTCCGCAAATCAAACGTTTGGACAAACGCGAGCACTTCAGCACTTCCTCCAAGCGATCCTTAACTTGAGATAGTGTCAACATGTTGGATCATCAAAAAATATCATGAAATGTCAGGCCCTCCCGTTTTGCTCAGAGAAAATGCAATGAAAAAACTTTGTGCAAAGGCTGCCAATCTATGATAAATAAACTATGCACAGCTTCGCACATGAGCAATGCTTGGGTCAACGCTTCCAAGGAGGGACCACCCGCCGCCGCCTCTGCAGAGGCAATTCCTGTCAAATCCACATGCGGGTTTGATGCTTTAGATGAGGTGGGGCCTGCAAAAGCAGTTCGAACATCTGGAGGCACCAATGCCGATAGAAACTCCATCCTGAAGCCACCAAAGCCCGAGTTTCCTTGAAACTCCATGGTGACTGGAGCCCAATCTGAAGGCTCTCGTGCCAAAAGCCCAAGCCATCGCATGGGAGGAGCTGCCAACCAAATCTTGTGCAAGCACATGTGTGCACGAGTCACTGCTTTGGCCAAGTCTTCATCCCGCACACATCTTCGTGCGACCTGTTTCAATGCCACAGTCAAAACAATGCGATCGCTGGTGGTGAGTTCTGATGACCGGGACGTGGTGTCCAGGTCTTTGACCATGTTCTCCAAGAAGTAGAGCCTCATGTTGAACATCAAATGCCTTCGCACTCTCTTTGGAACTCCGAACTCGGCCAGCAAGGTCCGTAAGGCCAGGAAAACGCATTTCGCATAGCAAGTCCCAGCTCGTTGAGGAGTGGTGAAGCCTGCACCGAAACCTACCACTTCTGGAGCCTGGAGTGTGGGCAGTAAGACTTCATAGAGCTGGAAGCAGGTGTGACTTCGATGCCGCACTTGGTACATGCAACACCTTAATAGGTCAGTCGTGGCGTCCATGGTCATTCCATGACCCAAGCATGACAAACCTCCTAAAAACGAGTACAAATCCTTCCAACGTCTCCCAACAGCTTAAACACTAGACCCTGTTCCGAATACCCATGACGAGCTGCAGAGTGTACAGGAAGGCCAAGGTAAAACGTTCCTTCTGCACCGGACGAAAACACAGCCTCACTATGTTATTCAAGCTTCAGAAAACCGCACAGGCAGTGCAGACACAGAAGCTTCTTTATTCAAACGCACAAACTTAGCTACTAGTAACAACGGCATCGCTACTGGTAACAAGGGCATCGCTACTAGTAACAAGGGCATC